GTGGGTAAAGGTCCTTGTCATACAAGCCTTGCCACATGAGTTTGATCCCTGAAACCCACATAAGGGAGGAAGGAGAGAACCAACTCGACCAAGTTGCGCTCTGACCTCCAGACTTGTTAGGCCATGGCAGATACACACCTACGTCATACGCACACACATGCACCACACACAAATAATAATGATACAAGGAATAAACACTGGTTGGTTGGTTGGTTGGCGTTTTTGGTTTTTGGTTGTTTTTTTTGAGACAGGGTTTCTCTGTGTAGCTTTGAGCCTTCCTGGATCTCGCTCTGTAGACCAGGCTGGCCTCGAACTCACAAAGATCCTCCTGGCTCTGCCTCCTGAGTGCGCTGCCACCACCCGGCTGGTTTTTTTTTGTTTTGTTTTTTTTGTTTTGTTTTTGGTTTTTCTTTCTTTCTTTTTTTCTTTTTTTTTTTTGGTTTTTCAAGACAGGGTTTCTCTATGTAGCTTTGCGCCTTTCCTGGAACTCACTTGGTAGCCCAGGCTGGCCTCGAACTCACAGAGATCCGCCTGGCTCTGCCTCCCGAGTGCTGGGGTTAAAGGCGTGCGCCACCACCGCCCGGCTTGTTTTTGGTTTTTCGAGACAAGAATTTTCTCTGTGTAGCTTCGCGCCTTTCCTGGAACTCACTTGGTTGCCCAGGCTAGCCTCGAACTCACAGAGATCCTCCTGGCTCTGCCTCCCGAGTGCTGGGATTAAAGGCGTGCGCCACCACCGTAGTTTGTTTTTTAAGTGTAGAGGCTGTCCAAGAGGGACAACCAGGGGATGCAGCTCTGGTACTGGGCAGGATGGGAAGTGAGACCAGGAGGCAGGTGTTTTGGGGAAGCTCAGGGGAGCATGCTGACAGGCTGGCCAGGGACAATCGCCCTTGACATCACCTGCCATTTTATAACACCATGAAAAGCAAGGCCTCAGCTTGACCCAGATGACTCCAGGCATGCAGACCCAGGGGCAGGGACACTGAGGTCACCATGTGGTGGTCAGAGTCCCATCTTCCTCTGGGCTATTGGTATGTCATTTGAGATCAGTCGCAGCCAGGGGTCCTCTGGCTGGGTCAGCATGTCTGACCTTCCAAATCTCCCCTAAGGGAAGAGTTACAGAGGGGCCCTGATGTGGCCCCAAGCTCCATGATCCCAGTCACCAACATTGTCCCTCATGAGCAAGACCACCTCTTGTGTTGGGAGATACCTGTCCTTGAGACCACCCCGGGGTGTCCAGTAGCTTCCAGAGCCTGGTGTGGCTCCCAAGGCAGCATACGCTTCTTCTTCCCCTGGCTCACAGACTTGGGGCATTCTGTCGCTCACGGTGCCTCTCAAGGCTGGAGACGTGGGAATATTCCCTAGGGAGAAGCCAGGGTTCCACCTTTTTTTTTTTTCCTTAAAGATTTATTTATTTATTATGTATACAGTGTTCTGTCTGTGTGCCAGATCTCATTACAGATGGTTGTGAGCCACCATGTGGTTGCTGGGAATTGAACTCAGGACCTCTGGAAGAGCAGCCAGTGCTCTTAACCGCTGAGCCATCTCTCCAGCCCCCGGGTTCCACCTTTTGATGTGAGACACACCTCAGCCCTCTGACTCGGATATACAGATGTGGCCTCTTCCTGAAAGGACCCAGCTCATTCTGGAATCCTCCTCAGACGCTGGCTCCCGGATGTTAGGACAGATGGGGGAGGGGGGACTCTCTAAAGTCTTGCCTGAGTCTCTGTTAACGTGGGATTGGAGCCAGGGCAGTTTGGAGGCTGAGCGCGGGGAGGAGGTCACGGAGGAGGACTGTGGGGAGAAAGAAGGCCTGCTGGGGACTCTAGTTCTCGTGAGAGCCAGGCCCTGAGGTGACAGCTTTCACAGAATGTTCTTTGTATTTTCTAATCTGAGGCTCCTTGGTTGAGACTTGCCAAAGCAGGCCGACAGCTTCAGGAATGTGCACTTGAAGTCTATGTCCTTGTATCCTAGACCTGACAGGCCGCAGGGGAGTCACCTCTTTCCCACCCCCTACCTCTGCTACTTAGAACAATGAAGGCCACAGAAGCAGCAGCTGGAGCGGGAGGGAACCCAGCCAAGCAGACCTGGCCAGCGCTCCCGCCATGTCCTTCATGGCTGTGTGGCCTCTAGAGACAGTCTCAGCCTCTCTGTGTGCTTGAGACCTCTTCTGAGATGACAGAGCCATGAACCTTCCCCCCCCCCACGCCATCCCCACCCCGCTGTGTCCCCCATTCCTGTACTGTTGGTGGAGCAGATAGGGCAGAGGTGCGGCCTTCTCCGGGGCTAGAGATGAAATCCTGTGCCCTGACCCACCCACACCCAGTGCCAGGTAGAGTGAGTGAAGAGGACTCCATCTGCCTTTCCCCCTTCCCAATCCAGCTGTTCCTCCGCCTCCCTTTCTGGCATTTACTTCCTTCTTCCTTTGGGGTCCTTGCTCGGACTGCATGGGGAGGCCCGTCTCCATCCCAGGCTCTGCTTTGCCAAGTCACAGGACAATAGGAAGGAAAGTGAGCCTAAGACTGTGCCAGCCTGACTGCCCTGGGCCCTCCAGTTCCCGGGTAGAGCCTGTAGATCACTATCAGGGTCTCATAGACAGCCTACTTGATAAAATTCCCCAATCCCCACATAGTGCACCAGATGCTAACATGCTACATGGGGATGGCAGACACACCCAGAGTCACATAAATAAAAATGAAATAAAAAAAAATTTAGAAGGACCTGCCTAATGTTAGGTGTGGTGGCATAGATCTTTTTGTTTTGTTTTGTGGTTTTGTTTTTTTTTGTTTTTTGTTGTTGTTGTTGTTGTTTTTCTGAAACAGGGTTTCTCTGTGTAGCTCTGGCTATCCTGGAACTCACTCTGTAGACCAGGCTAGCCTTAACCTCAGATCACCTGCTTCTGTCTCCCAAGTGCAGGGATTAAAAGCCTACCCCCACCCCCGCCCCCTTCTGTGGCACAGACCTTTAATCCTAGCACCAATTAGTGGAGCTCTATGAGCTCAGGGCTAACCTGCTCTACATGGTGAGTTTTAGGTCAGCCTGAGCTACACAGTAAGACTCTGTTTAAAAACAAAAGATCTGCCTGGTGGGCACAGGCAAGATGGGCATAAGTAGATTATGAGTCCTTTTGAGGAGAAAGCAGAAATCCTTGAGTGGTTCACTGTTGGAACAGGGCTGCCTGTGTATCACCATCAGCACTTGGGATGTTGTAAGTCCCATCCTCCCCCGGGTTCTGGCTGACATTTTTGCCCCTTTACCATCCTTGGTTTAGGTTCATAAGCTTCGGTTATGGAGTACACTGCAGGATAACTCCACCAGGCTGTTTGTGTGCTGCTAATACACAAAGTGCTCTGATTGTCCCCTGGATATCATGTGTGCACTCATGCGTGCATGTGCCCACACCCACACTTCTGAGGGAGTGAGGGCCTTGATTTCACATGAGTCTGAGGGTTACAGAGTTGCCTTCCAGCACAATTGGCCAAGATAAGAAAAGGTTGGGGACTGCTCAGTGGTTCAAAGCACCAACTGCTCTTGCAGAAGAACTCTGCACTCACATCAGGTAGCTCATAATTGCCTGTAACTCCAGTTTCAGGAGATCTGATAACCTCTTCTGGCCTCTGTGGGCACCTGCATACATGTGCCCATACCCATCTCCCCCCCCACCACCCAGCCCCTACAGAATTAAAGATGAAAACGAATATCTTTTTTTTTTTTGAGAGTTTTTTTGTGTAGCCCTGGCTGTCCTATAACTCACTCTGTAGACCAGGCTGGCCTCAAACTCACAGATCTCTACTTGCCTCTGCCCCAGAGTGCTGGGATTAAAGGCATGTGGCCCCCCTGCCTGGCTTACAATCTTTTTGAAAAGAAAGAAAAGTTTCATCAATCTTGGACAATGAACTCAACCTTAGGCAGGAGGAGAGGGAATTCAGAGGGGCCGAGAACCGTCTATGATGACCTATGCTTGCAGTTTTGATACAGAAGGCATGTGTCCTCCCTAGAGAACATAGGGTTGCTTTCTCCTGAAGAACCAGGCAGGGTGAGGATACAGGCTGGGCCCAGACCACTTGGGCCTCTTCACAGTATTTCTCAGAGTGTGAGCTAGGAATGGACACCTCAGGACTGTTCTTTGTCGTGTTCCCCCCCCCCCCCCCATATCTGCAGTCTTGGGAATGAGGCCTGGGATCTGAGGATGGGATGCTGCTGCTAGATGTAACATTTATCCACTTGCTTCCATTTTTTCCTTTTGAGAGGTAGGTTGGATGAGTTAAGGCTCAGAGAATCTCACCGAACTTTACATGTGGTGAGGTATTTGGTTTGGTTTTGGTTTTTCAAGATGGGGTTTCTCTGTGTAACAGCCCTGGCTGTCCTAAAACTCACTTTGTAGACCAGGCTGGCCTCGAACTCACAGAGATCCACCTGCCTCTGCCTCTTGAGTGCTGGGATTAAAGGTGTGCGCCACCACGCCCCTGCTCACATGGTGAGGTTCTGTGTGTGTTTGTTTTTTAGATTTAATTCTTTTCGTTTCATGCATATGAATGTTTCGCACTTTCATAAGTGCACCCACAGGCATGGCCTGTCGAGGGCAGAGGAGGGATCAGATACCTTGGAACTAGAGTTACAGAAGGCTATGAGCCACCATGTGGGTGCTGGGAACCAAACCTGGGTCCTTTGCAAGAGCATCAAGTACTCTTAACCACTGAGTCACCGGGAGCCCTTCAGACGGCCCTAGAGCCCCAACATGTGGTGAGTTTTTGTAGACTTGAATTTTGACAGAGATGCCAGAAAATGGGATCCCTGAACACTTGGAAAGGATAGGGTGAGGGAGATGGCTCGTGAGGTTTGAGTATTTGCTTTGTAAGCATGAAGACCAGAGTTCAAATCCCAGTACCTGTGTAAAAAAAAAAGTTGGGAAAGCTGCGTGTGTTGAGTGTCA